GCCTGCAGGCGGGATGCGTGGAAGCAGAGCTCCTCATTTCAAGGGGGTGTGTGAATTTGTGTTCTCCCCTCTGCTCAGCAGCTGTTTGCTGTGAAAAGCTCTGGAGATGTGGTAGTTGGGTAGCCTGCGCATTAGGCTAAAAATGTGAGAAGTATTAGAAAATAAAACCGCTTTTCTTTTTAGTTGGCAGGATCTAGCTGAGATCAGAGGGGGCTCTGTTTAGCTGTTCATCCATACTATGAAGAGCTTAAATTTAAGTTTTTTTGCCAAAGAATAAGAAAAACAGAGCTGTTGTCCCCTCTGGTACAGACAGGACACTTGAGCTTAGAGAAATGCAGTGACAGCTTTAGTCTCCTGCAGTCAATCTGTGGCGTACCCTGGCACTGAACCTTTAGCCACTGCCTATCTGTTTAACCATGGGATTATCTCTCACTTTAGTTGCCTCTGTTAGACAGCATTGAGCCTTGTTCTGTTTCTTAGACCAGAGAAAATTAAAAAAAGTTTTTCTTTGCAAAACATGGCCTTGAATGCAGGATTTAAAAGCTTGCTGTGAGATTTGGGAGTTAAGAAGGAAGGACTCTCTTTGTCTGGTGATTGTTTCTGATGTGCAACATAAGGTATTTTTTTCTACTTTATCTCTGCTGCAGGATAGCTGCTTAGCACAAGCTGATTTGCCCTATACAGCTGTTATGTACTTCAGAGTAACTGTGGCTGACGCAGTGAACGCGCGCGTCCCACTCCAAAATCTGTCTGAGAAAATAGATTATATCTGCTGTTTGCCTTTGATTAATGAAGTAGGAAAACCAGATAACATATAATCCTAAAGCTGTTAATAAAAAGAGACTACATGTGATACACAACTGTGATTAGGGGGATGTCAAAGACCTAGGCTCAAAAGCAGAGAATTGTGGTGTTTGTGCAGAGTTTTTGAATATATAGGCCACATTGCGATTCTCTAGTCCTTTATACGTTTGTTTGGTGTAGATAAAATTACTTAATTAGAGGTATTTTTAGTAAAGTGATGATTTGAGCTTCCGGTTGTGTGTGTTCACACAAGTAGTGCAAGTGTTTTGCTAATCTATAAACCACTCAGGATGAAACTAATTTGTGTGTGATAGCAAGAAATTGTAGTTTATTAATACATTTTTTGATTGTACAGGGTGAATGGGTGGTAGAGAACAAAACTTAATTTCATTTCTTTACAACTTTGCCATCAGAGAAGATTGAAATAAGATTGTATAGAAATTTTATGAAGAATGAAAACCCTAGCCTGACAGCAGTTTTTTTTAATTTAACTTAGTATATGACAAGAAATAATTCCTCCCAGTGTTTTCTGTAGGGGGGAAAAAACCCCTATCAAACTCTCTTTTTTTACAAAACATGCGTCAGGTTGCAGATAGGGTTGGTGTAGAGGAAAGACTAATAGAATTTGTCTGGATAATAGAAATTTCCATAATTCCATAATTTGTAATGAATTATTATGTTTTCAACAGTTCGGTTGAGCTGGAAGGATAAGTGATGGAAACTACGAGAGAGAATGAATTTTGAGGACTTGCAAGGTCCTTTGGCAATTGGGGAGTGTGAGCTGGTTCTAGCTACAAGAGCAGCTTGGGATGATGACAGATGCGAATTGTGGGAGTGACAAAGGGGACTTAAAAACCAAAATATGTGAAATTCATGAGGCAGTAGCTGGGGAGTGGTAGAAGTTGAGAAGAAGAATATTTATATGTGTGAGACTCAGGACAAAGAATGGATTTATTTAATTAGAAAAAAAAGAAAGACAGACCAGCAGGTAATAAAATTACTAAACTGGCAAGGCAGCATGTTTAGAACAGCAAACGAGGCTTTAGCAGTGGGTTCTCTTTTAATTTAGTTAACTGTAGACAGAAAGTAGTAAATGCTGAAGGAAAGGACAGGAGACCTAAAATACAAGGTAGGAAATAGATGGTATTGGAAAAGAGTAGTGATGCACTGAGGTTACCTGTTAACTTAGTAAACAACTCTGAAAGGAATTCTTCATTTAAAAATAGTTTGGACACATTAATCAGCTAGTACTTGTGATATTTTATGAAATAGGTGTCATGACAGGTAGTAAACACCGGAGGAGAGTGGGAATTAATCTCTAAACTCTAGCAAGCAGTAAAATTTATCACAACTAAGAACATTTAATAACTGCTGCTAGCGTATTTACTGGCAGTTTTTGTAACACAGATAAAATACTGATCCAGTAACCCATCTTTATTCCTGTGGTCTTGTCTAACATGGGCTTGAATGGGTAATGTCATGCAAGTAATCCCCTTGGATTTAGTGGAATTGTGTGTTGACAGCAAGTGTTGCAGGGCCCAAAGCCAGTGTGCTGAATCCTCTTGCACAATAACTGAAATAGTTTGAAAAGTAAGACATCAGAGCTTTTCGCAGTAATGGAGATACTAAACTAGAGCAGCCGTGTTTTTTCTAATTTAGTTGGTATATGTTGTAAGCAATGTGTGAAGCTGCCGAACAAATACCATTTTCCATCCTTAGAGAAATAAACCTAGGCACAATAGGACATATCACACAAATTACAGTAGGAATACTTTACAGAATAATTTTGAGCATTTGGAAGTGTTTCTAACCTCAGTCAGCATATTTCTGTTTTTCATTTCTCTAAGGAAGTTATAACTCTGCTGAAGCTTAAGAAAATCTTCAATGTTATGGGCTTAAACAACTGTTGAAAACTCTTCTTTATAGAAATCCAAAATCCTTATCTCGGAAAACTGCAGGTATTTTTGGCAGATTCTAAACCATTCTGTTAATCAGACTTGCTCGTGGCAAAATAAAATTCAAGAAGTGAAGGTTTCTTTCCTTTTCTGTGTTCCAAAGTCATCAACGAGGAGAATAGCTACTGCTGCAAAATGTTCTTGTCAAGGCTGTCATCCCATGATGAGAAAGATTACTGGGTTTAATTAAATTTTTAAAATATTTTTATGTACATCATGGTCATATCAGCTTTTTCAGTACATTATTACTATGATGAGCTCTGACTATGGTTTTTTTTCTTGAAGAAGGCAAACAGAACCTTTATTTCTGTTATTCTTAGAAAGATACCAGAATTGTCCCCTATTTACAGTGTTGCTCATCAGCATGAAATTATTTGCTTAACCATAAAGGGAAACATGGGCATATGGTACTTTTTTCTATTTGCACCTTATCTTTCCAAATTCAGTTGCTACATAGATATTTTCCTTTGTCTGTCAAACTGGGTTTTCTTCAATTTTTGCATTTCCCCTTTCTTCCCATGCTATTCTTATTTTTTGGTTGTTATTTGATTGAATAGCTCTAACTGAATTGTTTCTTGACAATGTTCTCCTTGGGATGTGTGGGGCATTGCGGAGCTGAGCATAAATACTAGTTTGACACTTTGATCTTGTGGTGCTGTCTAA